CAGTAGCCCATAATAGCATTGGGTCTTCTGTTTAACTGGCAGTGTCAGAAATTATTGACCTGAGTCCCCCACAGCTCAACATAACAGCATGGCTTCACTTCCTATATTTCGTCTTCGTACTCTTCTACTGGATGATTAAGACCAAGGTAAAGCAGGACCTGTGCAACAAGAGTTGTAGCTTTTTGGTCTGAGAAATGACCTTTTATTTTAACTAAATTAAATCATTCCTTGCTCTGAAGATACTTTGCTTTTCTTCAGTTTTATGTTTGAACTCATAGTTCTTCTCATCTTTAATTTCTGATCCCTAATTTCTGATGTCCTCATCCTGTGTGACCTCACTAGAGACTAGCAAAATGAAGTTAGAATAACAGTGTCTATTTGACTAGCAAAAATGTATTACATTATACTGAACATTGGCCAGAGTGGTAGAAAATGACATCCTCACATGTACTTTGGTGGTAATAGAAAGCAGTAGAATATGAAGGACAATTTGCTAGTAATTATTAGAACTTGAAACAGGCATTCTTTAATCTGGCAGTTTCCCATGTAGGTGTCTGTATTACAAAAAGACTAGCCCAAGTGTACAATGCGATTCACAAACACTATTTATGATAGTCTTTTATGTAGAAGTATATCAGTGTATGAAATATTACAGTCAGAAGATTAAGGTAAATCTGTGCGTACTGACATAGGATTATTTTTAAAACTTTAAGTGCAAAACTTTTATTATTAAGATCCAGTTGTATTTAAAATATAAAACTACACAGCTGGGTGTGGTGGTAGTATATGCCTGTAATCCTAGTACTAGGAATACTACAGCAGGAGGATCTAATATTTGAGGCTAGCCTCGCTATGTAGTTGAGGTAGACTTTGAACTCATTATGTAGGCCAGGCTAGCCTCGAACTTGTGGTTATCCTCCTGGCTCAGCCTCCTGAGTGCTAGGATTGTAGGCACACACCACCACACTTGGCTTCAAAAAAAACTAATACACACACATAGTAGATGTATATTAAGGGCATATATGTGTACATATTCCTTCAGCAATATGTAAATAAATGTACCTTGAGAAAGTTCTGGAATTTCAGCATACTAAAGTGTTAAGAGTATCATTCCTAGCTGATTGTAGTGGTACATGCCTAGAAGCCCAATACTGTGGGAGGCTGAGGCAGGAGTCTCACATGGTACCCAGACCAAGCAGTTTAGTAAGACTTAGTCTCAATGTAAAAATGAAAGTCTTACCGTATAGCTCAAGGCCCTAGGTTCAAGTTTGTGTGTGTGTTTTTTTAAAGTTTTTTTTTTGTTTTTTGGTTTTTTTTTTTTTGCACTGGTAGAAAAAAAATTGTCTTCTCTTTGGTCTAATGCCCCATTTAGAAAGTTCTCTGATTCCAAATAGCTGTGTGTACTTACAGAGATGTATTCATTTGCCTGGATTTATGTATTCCTTCCCTCATTCAATCTCTGTGTCTTGTAGCACCCCTAATTTGGGTAATAATTTTTTTGTTTGTTTGTTTGGTGGAACCAGGGATTGAACTCAGGCCCTTGCACTTGCCAAGGAAGTGCTTATTCCACTGAGCCATCTCCCCGGCCCCTGGGGTAACAAGTATTTATGTCAACACTTTAGCTCTTATATTAGTATTGGAAATAGGTCCCCCTTTTCTTTTTTTTTCTCTTACAGTATTTTAATTTTTTATTAAAAATAATATATGTATGGGCTGGAGAGACAGCTCATTGAAATAAGTGCTTGCCTGGCAAGTACAAGGTCCTGAGTTTGATCCCTGGTGCCACCAAAAAACAAAGTAATATATATAGACTGGGGGTGGTGATGTGTTCCTGTAATCCCAGCACTTGGGAGGCTAGCAACAGGTGGATCACTATGAATCCAATCTGTGTAGTGAGACCCTGTAGACCTTGTACTAAATACATAAAAAAAAAGTAATATATGTTCATTAAAGAAAGCTTAGAAAATAAGAAAAGAAAAAAATGCTCTCCAGCACTATGGTTAACACATTAATGTGTTGAGTTCTCTTTTTCTTTGTGCTTCGTTGTTTTTCCTACCCCAGTTATGAAATCGTTCAAATATTCAGAAAGTATGGAGTTCATACCATCCAGCTTTGTCATATTTTAATGTTTGATCATACTTGCTTTTTTCCCTCTCCCTTGAAATAAAATATTAGAGAGAATTCTGAAGCCCTGTGTCCCTTCTTGATTCTCTTACCTTCTCAAGAAATAACTTATGATGTTTCTCTTTGCCATGCATGTTTTAGATTGCGTGTTTATTTTACCATACATACGCATACATATTTAAATCTCCTTTTGCTATTGAGGTTTAATAAAATCTTTTTTTATTTTTGAAAATTCACATTTCTTCTATGACTTGCTGTTCCTAGCTTCTGCCCATTTTTCTGTTTCTGGTTTCTAGGAATTCATTTTTTTCTTTTTTTCTTCTTCATTTTAGAGAAGAGTCTACAGAGTGTTCTGGGTCTCACTACTAGATTGGACTTGTAGTGATTCTCCTGTTTATAGCCTCCCAAGTGCTGGGGTTACAGGCACACATACCACTCTGCCCAGTCTCAGTTGCCGTCTCAGTGTACCCAAGGCCCTGTGCCTGCTTGTAGGTGCTTTAATCCGCTGAGCTATTTGGCTGGCCTTCTAGGAATTCTTTATTCAGGTTATTCCATATTAAGTTACATATATGTTGGAAGAGAATTGACATGTTTAAGAAATTTAGTCTTTTTACCCATGATCATGGCGTATACTTTCTTTGTAGTTTGGTCTTAATAGTTTTTGGCTCATCTTTCTGGTTTTCTCTATAGTGATCTCACACTTTATTTGCGGGCTTCTAGTAGCCTTTTGCTTACAGCATGATACAAGCATCTCAGACCCACACTCTTCACACTCTTTTGTCTGTGTAGTGAATAGTTTTTCAACACCATTCACTGAAAAGTCTATCTTTTCCTTTGTTTTGAGAAAGTTTGTATTTTGTTGGGCTTTTTTTTTTTGCAGAATCAGGGATTGAACTCAAGGCCCTTGCACTTGCCAGGAAAGCGCTTATTCCACTGAGCCATCTCCCCTGCCCTTTTTCCTTTGTTTTGAGACATTACTTTTATTATATATGAGATTCTTACACATACATAACAGTTCTGTTGCGTGTTGCTATTTGTTTGTTTGTTATATATTTAGTACAGGGTGTACTGTTAGCAGCTTCCGAAAGTGCTGGGATTACAGGGGTGCACCACCACACCCAGCCCGGAATCCAGCTTTGTCCCTGTGCTCTGCCTCAGCAGGTGCTTTAGTCTACTGAGCTCTCTGGCTGGCCCTGCATGTCTCTATTGTGTAGCATAAATCCACAGGAACCTTATGCTAGGATGACTATGTGCCAGTGTCTCTAGTGGTTGTCTGAGCTCATGCATAGCACCAAGACTTGCCTATACTATCTTAATTCCTGTATGTCCTGCATCACTGTCACATAGTCCAGAGTTAGTCTCATGTATCTTCTCAGCATGATTTTCAAATTTCAAAGAGTGTATTCTTTCCTTTGTTTCATGCTTTTAGAATCTTAATTGCCATTCAGTAAATAATTGTTGAAAGTATGATTTAACCACATGGAGTCATTGCTGTTGAACGTCGTCTTTTCAAGGTGCCAACAGGATAGTGTTAGAAGACTCCAATATCTTGCAGCCTGTGGGACTGACTGTGTTTGAAAACTGGCTCTATTGGATTGATAAGCAGCAACAAATGATTGAAAAAATTGACATGACAGGTCGAGAGGGCAGAACTAAAGTCCAGGCCCGGATTGCCCAGCTCAGTGACATTCATGCAGTAAAGGAGCTGAATCTTCAGGAGTACAGTAAGTGCTGGAAGTAACACTGATTGGAGAGTCATATTTGCTGTAAGAAATTAAGATGCATTTTTGTGTCTTTTTGGCCTCTATTATCTTTTAAGATTATCATGTATTTATATCTTTTCCATTTTTTTGAACTCATGCTTTGGAGTTTTATGTCAGACTCACTAGGAACTTTTTCAAGTTAAACATCTCATGAAACAAGTATGAGAAAGGCATATACTTGCTCATTTAAAAAAAAAATTTCTTTGACTGGATGGTGTAGCTTCATGGTAGATTACTCTGTGTGAGCCATGGATTTACTACTAGTATAGAAGTAAAACTCGCTAGGTACAACAGTGACTCTGATTGTCATGCCTATAAAATTTTTATTTCTCTATTTCTTTCTATGTCTCTACAGTTTGAAGAAAAATAAAGTCATGTTTCATATAATGATTCATATACTTATGGATGAACTATATTCTTTAAATTAAAACAAAATTAGTATGAAAGCATAGCGAAGGGTGTGTTTAATCAGTGCTTCTTTTATTCTTAAATTTTTCAGTTCCTAAGAGTGTTAGTGGTACCTTGTTTTACTTTATTGAAAACTCTTAGAAAATCTTTGTGGTTTAATTTCTTGTTAATGCATGATAGTACCAGAAGCACTGATGATGGTGTGAGTACAGTACTAGAAACCTGCTGAAACTCCTTACCTTTCCAGCTCAGTGTTTTCAAACAGAATTGAAAATTGAAAGGAGAGTGCCATGGTTCATTGAAGTGTTCACTGTGTTGCCTCCTGTCATAAGCTTACAAGTAAATTAGACATTTTTTGAGAATTAGAAAGTTGGGTGTTTTGGCATTTATGTTCTGACATGTAACTCAGACTGGACTTTTAATTGAAATAAAATAATAATACCTAAGTTACTCAGTTGATACATGAATAGTTTTATAGATGATATCAGAGGATATTTTCAGAATTATTAGGGAGCTTATCTCTCTCTTTATTCAACTAGACATTTTGATTTTGTGGCTGGGAAAGCCTTTTTTGAAATTTCTGATAATATCAAGTCAATGAGATTTTCATTTCTCAAAAGTGTTCTGGAATTAAAGGTAAGGAAACTGCTCTTAGGTTGGTTTCTGCCGTGTCTGCTCATCAACAGATAGCTGAGTCTCTGCTTCAACACAGAATGAAGCAGGACCCCTGGTTATTGTAGATGAGCGATAACAAACAGTGGATATATGACATGTTGGAATTCTGTGATAAAAAGCGCCAGGTTCCTTATAACTCAAACTAAACAAAAAATTCAAAATAGTCATTACCTTAACTATAACTTGTAAAACAGACTAAAAAGTTGCCAAATGATTTGTTGCTTTAATTAAAGATTTTTAACTCAGAAATTCTGTCTGAAAGACAAAATGATTTCACTTAAAAAGTATATTTTATCCCAAATAGGAAAAGTGAAACATTCCTAACAGTGCAATTTACTTTTTGAATTGATGAAGCAAATGAATTTGTCTCTGAATGGCTTAGTTCTGTATCATCTTAAGATTTGCCTTCTGTTAACTAATTTTCATTGATTTCTTCATTGAAAGTACAATTTTTAAGTGAAATTGTTTTATATTTTAGATAGTATTTCTGAGTTAAAAATCTAATTTAGGGAAGAATTCTTATATTTTAAAGAGAATATAAGGTAATCCAGGTTTTACACATCTCCTTACAATTTTTCTTGTTCCGGTAATCCCCTTTTCTTACTGACAAAATTAGCATAAGCCGAAACCATTATCTTGCTTACAAATGATGTGTGTATATGTGTATGTGTGTGTAATTGTTGTTACAATACTTGGGAGGCTGAAACAGGAGGATCATTTGAATCCAGGGGTTTGAGACCAGTCTGAGCAACTTAGACACACCTCAAAATATAGATAGATAGATAGATAGATAGATAGATAGATAGATAGATAGAGTCATTATAGTTTTTTTTTTGAAAGATTTATTTAGCTCATAATTTGTGGAAATTTCAGTCCATAATCAGCTGTCTCCAAGGCAGAGTGGCATGGCACAGGGGCAATGGTTCAAGGTGGCGGAAGACAGCAAAAGCAAGAGCAAAAGGGGGGCAGAGATTTTTTTTTTACCGTTTTTTGGGGAATGGAGGAAGGAATTGTGTACAAATAAGTCCAAACTGATTTTGTTAACTATTTTTCTTTGTGGTTCATAAAAGAAATTCATTTTGACGAGAGTTGTTCCTTTTTCCAGGACAGCACCCTTGTGCCCAAGATAATGGTGGCTGTTCACATATTTGTCTTGTAAAAGGTGATGGTACTACAAGGTGTTCCTGCCCCATGCACCTGGTTCTGCTTCAAGATGAGCTTTCATGTGGAGGTAAAATATGTTACTGTTTTCTCATGAAAGCCTGAATGCCACTGTGATCCATATTTTAGTGTATAGCCTTCTGTGATGAGGCAGTGAAGCTGCTGCTGCTTGTACCTTATTCGGTCACTTGTGTTCTATTGATCTGTACTTTTCTAGGCCTTTAGATTATTATTCTCCCCTTAGCCCAATCCTCTTTGCCCTGAATTTAGCTTTGTTTTTAATCTCTGTTTCTGTGGGTGTTTACATTCCTCATGTGAGTGAGCTAATGTGGTATTTGTCTGTGCTTCTGGCTCATTTGTAACTGCAAATGCTATTTTCTTTTTTTAAGGCTGGATAATATTTCATTGCATATATGCATTACCACATTTTCATCCTGGGAAAAGTGTATTTCCTGATAATAGAGTAGCTTCCCCACCTCCCAAGATGATAGTGAAATGAATTAATTATACTTCTTGCAGTTTCCATCTACTGAATCCTGGATTCTGTTAGTGTATGTATCATTGTTAGGATTATGTCCATTGACAAGAATAGTCTTGTTCAAATTTGTCAGCGGTTTCCTGTTTTTTATGTACCTAGTATTAATCAGTAAGCAGTTTTAAAGATATTACTGAGTGTATTGATAATATTATGAAGTTTGATCCCTTAAGAGTCATAATAGAAGGGCCGGTAGATAGCTCAGTGGACTAAACGCCGCCTTAGGCAAGCCAAGGGCCTGGGGTTCAGTCCCTAGTACCACATGCTGTGCTGGCCCTGCCCAAGGTATGCCGAGCCAGCAACCAGAACCAGGTGTGCTGGCACACCTGTAATCCCATCACTGGAAGGTCAAAACAGGAAGATTACTACAAGTCTAAGCTATGTAGCAAGACATTATATCAAATATGAAGAGTTATAACAGATTGGTATATTCCTTGGTTAAATCTTACCGTGGTAGTATGGGAGCTAAAAATTAATTAATTAGTTTATTTATTTATTTATTTATTTATTTATATTTATTTTGCAGAACCAGGGATTGAACTCAGATCCTTGTGCTTGCCAGGGAAGTGCTTATTCCACTGAGCCATCTCCCTGGCCCCTAAAAATTATTACAATGATAGCAGCAGTAGGGTGCTTGTCTAGCATGTGTGAGGGCCCTGCCTTTCATCCCAAGCACAATTTAAAGACAAAAGATGTTTTGTTCTACAGTGATAGGTAAAATAAATATTTGTGTGAGCCAGGATTTTAAAAGAATATGCACTCAAAATATAATAATTATTGGCAATGTAGGACTACAAATAAATTTTATTCTTTTAAGTTTTTTAATAAAATTAAAAGGCATATATGGAGTAGCAGCCACAGGAACTTTGCTTGGACTATAATAAGGATTTGAAAAACTTGTGGGGCCTGGGAAATGGCTCAGTAGAATAAGTGCTTGCCTGGCAAGCATAAGGGCCTAAGTTCAATCCCCAGTTCCACTCCCCCCCCAAAAAAAGAAGTTGAAAAACTTGTAATCAGGGAGCCCAGACATATGCAGAGAAACTCCAGCATTTGATTTTTTTCTTTTTCTTTCTTTCTTTTTTCTTTTTTTTTTGGTGGTACCAGGGATCGAACTCAGGATCTTATGCTTGCCAGCAAGCACTTATTCTACTGAGCTATCTCCTGAGCCAGCATTTGAAATATAAAATAAACATTGTACAATAATGTGAATGTATTTAATACCACTGAACAGTTGAGGTAAAATGGATAAGCTTAAGTCTGTGTTGCATCTTTTACCACAAAAGAATAAACCATGTTTTCATATCAGAGTGCTAGATAGTTACTTTAAATGGCAAATCCTGTTGATAATAAAACTGAATCAAGGATCTCATCTTTCTGCTAGAAAATGTCTTAAGCCCTTTGATTGTTTTTGTTTGCACATTTAGTAACTTTCTACTGTATGTTAAATGGCTACTCATCAGGTTTTGGGAAATGTATACAATAATGTTAACTAACTCCCAAATCAAGTTACATAATATTGCTACTAAGAAAGTTACCCCGGCAGGTGTGAGATCAGTCTGCTGGGATCTGTCATCCCATTGATTGCCAGGGCTGATTTAGCTGATCTGACAGGCTAGGCACCCCCTTCCTCCTTCATCGCTCCATGTGTCCCCCTCCTGAAGCTGCAGCCTGAAGTGGCAGCTGTGTGCTTGGTTAAAGAGGATGACCACCCTGATAGAGGAGGACCACTTCCTCAGTGGAGGTTATATGAGTAACTTCGTTCTCCTGCTAGAACCTTCAAACCAGCTTTCAAGAAAAGAATCCTGGTGTTACCTAGGTATACCTCCCATCCCAGCACTTAAGAGGCTGAGTCAGGAGGATCACTGTGAGTTTGGAACTAGCCTGATAGTGAGACTCTTTCTTAAAAATGAGAAAAGGAAAGAAAAAGAACTGTGGTGTCCCTTACCAGTTTTCCTCTGTCAAAAATAATCACTAGATTCTTAGTCCCATAAATAATTTTGCCTGTTTCTGAACCTATTATCAGTGGTAAAATAATATGTAATCTTGTTCTAAGATTCTCTTGAATAATATATTTTTGAGATTCAGTAGTAAAACTGATTGTATCATTGTATGGTTTTTATTGCGGGGTAGTATTTTATTATATAATACCATGGTTACTCAGATGAGGAACATTTCAGCTTTCAGTTTTTTCTATCAAGAATAAAAACTGTCTCTCCCCCCTACCCCCCCCCCCCATGGATGTGCTGAGCTGGCCACCAAATCCAGTTGGTCATGGTGGCACACACTTATAATCCCAGCCCTGGGGGTGTTGAAAACATGAGGAACACTATGAGTCAAGTTGCATAGTGAGACCCCGTGCCAAATACATTAAAAAAAATTTTTTTAAGAATAAAACTACAGGGGGCCCAGCCCTAGCTCAGTTCTTTAAGTGGCTGCTTCCACAATGCTGGTAGCCTCAGTTTGCTGTAGTTCGGTCCCCACAACACTCCAGCCATGCAAAAGTGCCCTGAAGGCATTCAAGGAGCAAAACACACACAAAAGAATAAAACTACAGTGAACATGTATATACAAGTCTTTAGTCTTGATTTACAATGCAGATAAATGAAATACAAAATTTTAATTTCTCTGCATGGCTTTCAAAACATTTCATTTAAATTCATCTTACCTGTCCATCTCATTTTGCATTTCTTCCCAATTTACTATTTTTGTTTGTCTGTTTGAAATTTGAGGAAAACTATGGCATATTTTTAGTTTTGTTTATGTAGATCTTCCTTTGATATTTCAAGAGTGTAGTCCTAAATCTTACTGTTTGCAAGGGGTATCTGATTCCTTAATGATCTGTGAAAATCTCACTACTTGCTGTTGTCTCCACTGTCTGAACAGTTTTTTGTTTGTTTGTTTGTTTGTTTGTACGGGGGATTGAACTCAGGACCTTGCACTTGCCAGACAGGCATTTATGTTGCTGAGCTATATCCCCAGCCCTTCCAGTTTTTGTGACAGGTGGTTAAGAGTAATGTTTCAGTTGTTTTTTATTAGTCCTTCTTATCTTCAGGCAAATTCAAAGCTTTATAAGAGCATGAATCATATTGTATCTATTTTAATTTTCTGTGCAATATAGTATAGTTGTTGAGCATAGTAGACCCTTAGAAAAGAATCTTTCAGATTGCACATGTTTGGTGTTCATCTGTAATTTGTAATGTTCTGTTTTAAAGATTAAAGGGTTTTCCAGTTCATACTCATATAGTAAAGTGGGTATTCCCAGGAGAATTTACTAGGAGTCAAATTTTTATTTTTTATTTTTATTTATTTATTTTGGCGGAACCGGGGATTGAACTCAGGCCCTTGCGCTTGCCAGGGAAGCACTTGTTCCACTGAGCCATCTCCCCAGCCCGCAGTCAAATTTTTGAAGAACTTACAATATCATACTTAACTATAAGCAGTGTACTATATTTAAGGACACTATGCTTATTCTTACTGCTTTGTAGTCATTCCTTATATATGGAAAGCTCTGTGGTCTGACATAGTCACTTAGCCTCTCTGAGCCTCAGTTTCTCCATTCTTAGAAAATTGGACTTTGAGTGGCTGTTCTCAAACTTTTGATCCGAGCATATTTTTACATTTTAACATTTTACTGATTCATCATAACCACTCTTAAGTGAAACTGCCCTGTTAGACTGAGTGTGTGTAGCTGTATGGACCCCAGTGAGGACTTGTACAGCTAAATGTGATCTCTCTGAGTCCACAAAGGTCCACAGCTTTACCCACTGTTCTTTTGTGGCATCAGTGTAAATGTAGTGTAAGAAAGAAATGGCATCTTAGAATTATTGGAAAATAATGAACAGCTCCTAAAACTGGACTTAGGAGTTCCCAGAGATAAATAGAGACTCTCAAAGTTTTGTTTTTGTTTTTGTTTTTAAACTATGAGTACTAGGCTTACTTTTATCTTTTTTAGATTTATGTATTTGGTACAGGGTCTCACTACACAGCTTGGACTCATAGTGATCCTCCTGTTTCAGCCTCCCCAGTGCTGGGGTTACAGGTGTGCACCATCACACCTGGTTACAGTGTTGGGCACAACATGCAGTACTGGAAATCGAACCCAGGTCCTTGTATTTGCCAGGCAGGCGCTTAGATCACCAAGCTATATCCTCAGCCCTGGACTGACTTTTAAATAGTTGGAGGCTAGTGATTATAATGATTGTTCACAGGTTATGTGTGATTGGAGATATTACAGTCATACTTGAATTACAACATGACAAAACTTCTGTCATAGTTCTACATTAGTGAACCTAAATTAAGTAGTAGAAAAATTTCTGATTAAATGAGATGCTTGAAAAATTACATTTTGTGTATGTTAATTATTAAATGAATTTCACTTAGGTATATATGTTTGTACTTTTATGTGACCATTATTATGCTTTTGTCATTCCCTCCCCCTTGTTCATCTGAAGAGCCCCCAACATGTTCTCCTCAGCAGTTTACTTGTTTTACTGGGGAAATTGACTGTATTCCTGTGGCTTGGCGTTGTGATGGGTTTACTGAATGTGAAGACCACAGTGATGAACTCAATTGTCCTGTGTGCTCAGAGTCCCAGTTTCAGTGTGCCAGTGGGCAGTGTATCGATGGTGCCCTTCGATGCAACGGGGATGCAAACTGCCAGGATAAATCTGATGAAAAGAACTGTGAAGGTATCCACAATTCTTCTGTGCGTGGTCATACAGTCCTTTTCCATCAAATTGTTCAAAATTCAGTGTATATTACTTTGGCTCAGTGTAGATTTTGGGTTTTGGGTAACTTTGTTCCAATTGTCTTGGCCTTCTAAACCATGTAGAGACTATGGCATTGCTGTTGATATACCACAGGAGTTTAAACATGCTTAGTTGGTACCCTACAATTGAACTTCATCACAGATAGTATTATACTTTGATTCTAATAGCCTTTATAAATACCCTGTAATGACTTTGGAAAAATAGGGAATGTTTGGAAATTTTGAAATTTATCATCACCACAGTGAAGCCCAGAGTTAATAAGCAGATAACAGACCTTTTATCCTAATTTTTTTTCAAAATAAGAATCACTAGGTATCATTTTTCATTATGACATTTGAGCATATCATAAGCTAATAATGTCAGGGCCAGCCAAATAGCTCAGCAGATTAAAGCGCCTGCAAGCAGGCGCAGGGGCTGGGGGTTTGATCTCCAGACCTGCGGTGCTGGGCCACTCCTGGGGTGCGCTGAGATGACAATTGAGGCTGGGCGTGGTGGTACGTGCCTGTAATCCCAGCTCTTGGGAGGCTATAAAGAGGCGGATCACTGAGTCCAATCTAGTAGTGTTGTGCTTTCCAACGCACTGAATACCCTATAGACCCTTCCCTAAAATACACACACAAAAAAAGTCATGTTCTGAATTATCTTAATTCATTTCACTTGCATGACATTTGTGCAGATTAATAAATATTTCAGTCAGCTTTTGGTTACTATAATTAAGTGCCCAAATCACTTATGAAGGAAAAAGTTTTATTTATCCATAGTTCTGGAGATTGAGAGGTTTGACATTGGCATCAATTGGGCTCTTGGCAGAGTCATCATGGGAAATGAAAAAGATGACTGGAGGAGTTAAGAGAGGAAGAGATGTCTTCCCTAGATAGGAAGCCAGCAAGAGGAGCTGCTGGTGTAGGTTGCTCTGCTTATAACAGTCTTTCCTAAGTGCTGACTCAGGGTCCCTTACCTCTACCTCAGTCCATTCTGAGAACAGCACTTTTGCAACCAACTGGGCTCCCTTTTTCTATTAAAGATCCTAGCACCTTCATGCTCTGCAACACAGAATTCCATGCCTCCAGCCCATTCTACAGCTGAACTTCCTAGAACGTAGAACACTGGGGCAACTCACTCAAACCACAGCAATAAGATCGGAAAATTGAGAAGACTAAAATTTAAGTCATAAGTATATATAAATAGCTCCTGTTTTCAGTGAATCCTAGTTGATTTATTACAATCTATAGTACCTTACTCTCTTCTTTCTCTTATTAACCTTACCCAGTATAAAAAAACAAGATCTATAGAATTTTCTCAGGTACACAACAAAAATTAATCAGTAAAAGGAAATTTAAAGAACAAAGTAAAAAATTTCTTGCTGAATTCTTCTCTTTACTGTTTCTTTTCTCTCTACTAGTGGAAATACCCAGAAACTGAAGTTAAATCTAAAACTCTAGTGTGGGTTTCCATTCATATTCAGAAAGTAACTTTTGACTCTTATTGAATTTGGCTTTATATGATGTTTAAGATGAAAATTTATTTCTATTTTCCCAGTGCTTTGCTTAATTGATCAGTTCCGCTGTGCCAATGGTCAGTGCATCGGAAAGCACAAGAAGTGTGATCATAATGTAGATTGCAGTGACAAATCTGATGAACTGGATTGTTGTAAGTAAAAATGAAATGTAAATTACTCTTTTTGGTTTACATTTTGTTTTTGTTTTTTATTTTGTGTAGGGTCTCACTACGCAGCTCAAACTCGTAGTGACCCTCCTGTTTTCAGCGTCCCCAGTGCAGGGATTACAGGCGCGCAACACCGTGCCTGGACTCCATTGCTGGCTCAGAGCGCCTGGGTGCGGACTGGCACAACATGTGGTGCCAGGGATGAACCCCAGCCCCTGTGCTCACCTAAGCAGGTGCTGTAAATTACTCTTTTTTTTTTTTCCCCGGAAACGGGTATTGAACTCAGGCCCTTCTGCTTGCCAGGGAAGTGCTTATTCTACTGAGCCATCTCCCCAGCCCTTGTAAATTACTCTTGAGGGAGAATTTTATTTAAAAATTTTTCTTTATAAGTTTTATGTATAATAGAAGTTCCCTTATTGAGAACAAGTATTAATAGTAAACTATTGGGCTGGTGAGATGGCTCAGTGGTCTAAAGCACCTACTTAGAACAAGCTTAGCAAAGCACAGGGACCGCAGTTCAATCCCTCAGCACCACATGCCAGCCAGCCCCGCCCCCTGGTGGGCTGAGCTGGCCACACACACACACACACACACACATAATAAACAAATTTTTTTAAAAAAAGAAAGAAATTATATTGCAAAGCTACTGTGATAAAATCAACATGGCACTGACAAAAACTTAAGGATCAGTGGAATAGATAAGAAAATGCAGACACAACTACAAACACACTCATCCACCTTATCTGACAAAAGGGCTAACCATGTTCACTGGAACAAAGATAGCCTCTTTAATAAATGGAGCTGGAAAAACTGGCTTTCCACATGCTGATGACTAAAATTAGATCCATGTCTATCATCATGCACTAAACTAATGTCAAAATGGATCAAAGATTTTAATATTAAAACAGAAACATTAAATCTACTAGAAGGGGGCTGGTGAGATGGCTCAGTGGTCTAAAGCACCTACTTGGAACAAGCTTAGCAAAGCACAGGGACCTCGGTTCAATCCCCCAGCACCACATGCCAGCCAGCCCCGGCCCCTGGTGGGCTGAGCTGGCCACACACACTAAATAAATAAATTTAAAAAAAAAATAGTAAACTATTAATAGTTTACTTTTTGTGCTAGGGATTTTTTAATGGTTTGCTTTTAATAATTTCTTAAAGCAATTTTATTATGCAAAAAATACAGAAATATTTAGTAAAGTGCCAGAAGAGAATAAATGTTGTGTCAGAATTGAATTTACAAAATTCTCAAATAATTTAGATAATGAAAATCATTTCGTCTGTACTTTCTGAACATTAGTCCACATTTAATTTCTCCAATGTTTTCTCAAAGTGCTTCTACAAGTTGTTCAATGTCCAGAAAACTGTAAAAGCTTTCTTAAAATGTAGCCTGAGGATATTTGGGGCAATGTATACCTGGAAATATACAGACCCTTGTAGTTGCTGAACTGTTCGTAACAGTTGACAACACCCTAAAATATATCTAAAATTGATATGCTGTCCTGTAGTTAATTCTAAATGGAATTCAACATAAGCCAGATTTACCCTGTCAAAATAAAATTTGATGGAACTTAGAAAAGTTCAAGTGGGTATGATATGTCTGAGTTTTCAGATTCTGTTTGTTCATTCAACAGGCATTTATTGTCATGTGCTAGACCCTTTGTTGTGTGCTGAGGTTACGTGGTACCTGCATCAAGGTTCCCAGAGTCTTCTATGGCTGAAAGAGTAATAAGTACAGGAAGTTTAGAACCAGGCACACCTGACTTGAATCTTAGCTCTTTCATCATGAGCAAATTATTTGTTCTTATTAAAACCTAGTTTCTTCATTGTTAAACTGAAGATAATGATATTTATGGTGATTGTGAGAAAATGAACAGATTTTAGTGTCTTATTTAGCCTGGCTGATGCATAATCTAGCTCATAGCAGATACTTTTGATAATGATATAATGAGTAATACGGATGAAAAGTGATAACATGAAAAGAGATCTATACAGGTGGTAGTACAAAGGAAAATAGGGAGCTTTTTAGGAATGAAGTTGATCAAGGGAAGCTATGTAGAAAAATGCTACTTAAGGTTCAGTCTTGATGACTGAAAGTGTTCATTGTGCAGGTAAAAACAGAAATTGCATTCTAGGTAGGCCTATCCTCTTGAAAAGCAGAAAAAAATAAAACCCCAGGTGTCTTTGGGAAAGTAATGCATGTAGATGGGACTGCCAAAATACAAGCTATGTCTTAAGGGATGTCGATAAGAAATAATGAGATGATAAAGAGAAGATCTTGGAGGACTTTGCTTTTCTTTTAAAAAGCCTTCACAGTGAAGTCATTGACAATTTTAAGGAAAAAATGAGCATGGCTATTGCACAGATGCCAAAGTTATGCAACAGATGTTTTGAAAGTTATATGATTATAGGCACAGAAATCTGTTAGGCTAATTGTTTTCAAAGTCCTTTGAACTGAATCAAGAGAAATAAAAAGCTTTGAATGTATGTGTAAAGATCCAATATATCATACAACAGTATTTACCTAATGATGTAGATGGTGTTTTCTATTTAATTTTTTAAAAATGCTGGTTGTAACCCAAGGTATTGTTTTCACCATCTAATGACTTTTAGTCTATAATTTAAAAGTGCTTAGGAGGCGGTTGTAATTTAGATAGAAGATGAAGAAAATATAAATTAAGAGGAGTGGCAATCTTAAAGAATAGGTACAGAGGGCCAAGGAGATAGCTCAGTGGAATAAGCGCTTCCCTGGCAAGGACAAAGGCCCGAGTTCAATCCCCAGTTCCACAAAAAAAAAAAAAAAAAAAAAAAAAAAAAGAATAGGTTCAGAGTAATTTCATAAATAAGAAGAGCATGTCAACAACGTAGATATGGCTGATAAGTTAACCCACAAGATACCTCACTGCATGACCAGAGTTATCAAGGTCTAAGGCAAGGACCAAAAACAGAAGTCATGTTTTTTTGTTCAATTTATTTTTCTTTTTAATTAATTCACATACCTTTAGGCAGGCATGTACTTTAGAATTTACCATACATTCTGGTTTTTGGGGTTTTTTTTATTGTCCCCTGGAATATTTCATTTATTTATGATCTACTTCTAGAAGCTAGGGGGAATGACAGGTGGCATTAATGATGAATTCAGTTTAGGATATTTTGCATTAGAGATTCAAAAAAATGAAGAAAAATCATAAAACTGAAAGACTTGTGCCTTAGCAAGCATTTGAATAGGTGTTTTTGAGAAGACAGGAGTTGGCACCACTGAATGTGTAGAGAGTAAGATGAAGAGAGATGAAGTTTATTGAATGTAGCAATTCTGGGAAATTTGACTTGTTAGATCAGTTTCAGTGTAGCAGGTGGGAGTAGGAGCCTGAATTCAGTGAGTTAAGATGTGATCCAGAGCCCTGAAATGGGTGGTAGTAAATATAAACTGTTCTGTTTTTTCTTTCTGTCTTTCTGGTGTGTTGTTTTCTTTTTAGATCGGGTCTTATCTGGTCCAGGCTGTGCTCAAAATTCATGATCCAGAGCCCTGAAATGGGTGGTAGTAAATGTAAACTGTTCTGTTTTTTCCTTCTCTCTGTCCTTCTGTCTTTCTGTTTTGTTTTGTTTGTAGATAGGGTCTTACTATGTGGTCCAGGCAGAGCTCAAATTCATGATCCTTCTGCCTCATAAGCTGTTCTATTTTAAAGCTTGCAAAGGAATGCTGAAGCACTAAAAAGAAATATAAAAGACGGAATGTTGCTGGCAGGGACTAAACAGAGACTGCCTCTGATTCCACAGACTGATTTGTACTGGAGTCCCTACATGTTATGTAACTTAGTGCTATCATTTTTACTTCTTTGTTTGATTACTTCATATCAGAGGTGAGTTTAGCTGGAGATTTGAGGTAAGAAGCAGCAGAAAGAAGCTTTTTAAAAGGGATTTCCAAGGGCCAGGGAGATGACTCAGTAAGGGCCAGGGAGATGGCTCAGTAGAATAAGCGCTTGCCTGGCAAGTGCAAGGGCCTGAGTTCAATCCATGGTTCCACCAAAAAAAAAAAAGGAATTTCCAATTGTGAGATCTAAGGTAAACAGAATAGAAGAATTTTCCTTCTGAGGAGATTAATGCTCTGTATTTGATAGGTCCCTTTGGTTTTTCCTTCTACTTCTAACATTGTGCAGCGCCTATTTCTTCAAGGTTCAAGTAGCTTAGGGACTCAGGGATGGTGGTTGTCCTAAGCAGCACCCTCTTCTAATGGCCTAGCCATTGCTCCACAGTCCTGGTAGTTAAGTGTTGGAGACCCATGTTCCTGCTCTTGCCATTCAGACAGCCTGAAGGCAGCAGCATATGAGACCTCAGACACAGGCTCATCTACAGTTTCTAATTTTCTTTCGCTGGACCTAATGTTACTGTTTAAATCTGAAATCTAACAAGTACTCAGAGCTGCTTTTTGGCTGAAGAAACGATTGGTGCAAACCATACTAGGTGAAATATTTGATGACTTTTCTTCGTCTATTCCTTCTGACCTAAAATTTTTCCTGAAATTCCAAAATAACTTTAGTTTTTATAATATGCAAAATGAAGTAGATTTTGTATGTATATGAATGTAAGTCTTCTTACTGGTGTTTAAGTTTGTACTTAGCATTTTTGTTCCTATTTACAATTATACTTCCTAGTCTTTCATTTTTGTCATTTAAAATGGTAGTTCATGTTGATTCCTAATGATGACATAGAATTCATATTTTCATGAAGCATAGTGTATATGTATCCATAAAAGAAAATTGTGTTTACAAATTAAGTTTATAGCTTCCCATCCTTTTTATTGCTATTTTGAGTGCATTGTTATTTTCCCACAAGGTAATTATACATCATTTCTTATTTTAGATCCAACTGAAGAGCCAGCACCACAGGCCACCAATACAGTTGGTTCAGTAATTGGAGTGATTGTTACTATTTTTGTGTCTGGAACCATTTACTTCATCTGCCAGAGGATGTTGTGTCCACGCATGAAGGGTGATGGGGAAGCTATGACCAATGACTATGTTGTTCATGGCCCAGCATCTGTGCCTCTTGGTTATGTGCCACACCCGAGTTCTCTGTCAGGGTCTCTGCCAGGTGAATTAAGATTGATCCATTGAGTTTCAGTTTCTAGCAAAATTACTGCATTTCAATTATAGATGTAGGATGTTACTTAGAGTTGATTTAGACTAGATTGTTTGGGTTTAAAGAACTACAGGAACAAATGTTACTACTTCTAGCACCTTCTCTTTATGCAAAAGGCCTTAGGCACTGTAGTAGAAATTGCAGATGATACAGTACAAACATGCTAAGTCCCTGACTGATCTTTTGGAGATATAACACACTGAAAGAGATTTAGCTGGTCTGTCATGAAGAGCTATGAGCTACAGATTGTTTAGATTCACAACCAAGGAACTTTAGTGCTGTAATGGCCAAGGTAAACTTCCCTTTAGCAGTCAAAAATTTGAAACCAAATAACAGAAGAGAATGATACAGTATCATGCTTTCTTCTGTTATAAAGAGATGACATTGGGAGCAGTGGTGCTGCTTTAGTCACACCCAGTATACACAGGCTCTGTGCTTGGGTAGGCCACATTGCTCTAGGAAAGTACAGCTTTATTTTCAGGGTTTCTTGGTGTCCTTAGTGAAAAGCTTTCCTTTTAATGAAAATAGAGAAGGGAGTGCCTAGTCAAAGACTTCTGAAAATAGGAACTTAGGCCAAGTAAAACTTTTAAGTAAACAGACATCAAATTTCAGCTGACAGTGTTTCCTTGTTGCCATACCTATTTTCAGCTAGTGAAATTTGGAAAGCTACTTGGAAAAATAGAATTTTTTTCTTAACATGGGTAGTTTTGATTCCAGCAATACTTGCATCCAGTAGGCAAAGAAATGCTACTCATGTGTTGTTTTATGCTCCAAAAAATAGCAATGTTTTCTTTTGAACAAGTCTTAGTATTTAATCCGTGCTACATTATAACCTTCACCCTTCCCAGTCCTGTTCCTTTCAGCTCTGTCTAGGATATTGAATACCTTATTAGGGAGCAGGTGAAAGCTTTTGGCCTTGTCGTAGGCCTTCTCTCAATGGAAGCATTCACTTCTAGAGAGCATTCTGTAGTTCTTTCTTCATTAATCATTTCCAGTTATTAATAGGAAAAGAGGACATAAGTTTTTAAATTGATTATTTGACTGTGACTACTGGTGGTGTTTTAGTTACTTGCTGAGACACAGTTCCTGATGCCCACAACTCCAAAGTCTGTCCTGGCTCACAATTTTTAGAGGTTTCAGTCCGTAATTGAATGGTTCCAAGGCAGGGTGACTGAGAGATGAAACAGCTCATGGCACAATGGTGGGAGGCAAAGAGAGACCAAGGGAGGTAGGAGGGAGACAGACACTTCCAGGCCACACACCCAGTAATCTGCCTCCTGTGGCCAGACTTCACCTCCCAGCATCACATTTAGCTGTAAGCTCGTCAGTGCACTACTCCACTGATGTCTGTCAAACCCTTGTGATTGAGTCACTACCCAAAGCCCATCTCTGATCACAGGAAGCTTTGAGGGAACATCTAGATAGAAACTATAACCAGTGTTTGTAACCCAAGTGTTGAATGAAGTTTTATTCTTATAGATCTTACTCATCTTCCATTTTTATTTCCTTTCTGTTAGGAATGTCTCGAGGTAAATCAATGATCAGCTCCCTTAGTATCATGGGAGGAAGCAGTGGACCCCCTTATGATCGAGCACATGTCACGGGCGCATCATCAAGCAGTTCTTCAAGCACCAAAGGCACTTACTTTCCTGCAGTAAGCAGTCTGTTTTGCTTTACTCTCTGAATACTAAAATCTCATTTAAATGTGGGTACTTGTTGATAATAATGTAGAAGTAGTTTTTAATACAGAATTGGGGCCAGGGAGATAGCTCAGTAGAATAAGCGCTTGCCTAGCAAGTGCAAGGTCCTGAGTTCAATCCCTGGTACCACAAAAAAAAAAACAAAACCAAAACCAGAATTGGAGATATAAAAGCTTGAAGAATTTGCAACCACTACCCTGTGATATAAATAACCAACATATTTGGAAGTACTGGGCATTGATTTTACATTTCAAGTAAAAGTAGAAGCATGGTACATCTTGAAAGATTTATAACCTTCATTTCTTAAAACAAGGTACACCTAGATTTTCTCCTTTATCAGTCATTTTTCTCTAAACATTTATAATTTTAAAAAACTAAAACCTAGCTCTGTTGAACTTAAGCACATGATTTAAAGGTAATAAATTTTCTTTTAATCCTTTTGTGCTGTTTAGCCATGATGAAATTATTTTAGGGAAGGGAGAGCCAGAGTTCTGAAATACTGTTTGGGGTCAGTTCTTTGGAAAAGGAGTTATATGCTGACAGTCCTTAGAAAGCAATAAGGTAGGAAGATCAAAGAATGTCTAAGTCTCTGTCTGGCTTACAGTATTGCTGTTTTAATATTGTAATTATTTTTCCTTTCAGATTTTGAATCCACCACCATCCCCTGCCACAGAGCGATCACATTACACTATGGAATTCGGTTATTCGTCAAACAGTCCTTCTACTCATAGATCATACAGGTACTATACCACATCTTCTTTTAATGGAAGTGGAAATGCTTACCACAAAAGAGCAGGCTGGATGTGGTGGTGCATACCTATAATCCCAGCTACATGCAGAGGATAAGGCAGGAGGATGGCAGGTTTAAAGCTAGCCTAGGCAATTTAGTAAGACCCTATCTCAAGAAAATAAAGGGGGGAGCAAGCATGGCTCAATGGTAGAATGTCTGCCTGAGATCATGGGTTTGACCCTCTCATAGCCTTCACCCCTCCCAGTCCTGTTCCTTTCAGCTCTGGCTAAGGTACTGAATACCTTACGAGGGAGTAGGTGAAGACTTCTGGCCTTGTTGCAGGCTTTCTCTCAGTGGAAGCATTCACTTCTAGCAAGCACCCTCTAGTTCTTTCTTCATTAACCATTTCCAGTTATTAATAGGAAAAAAGGACATAAGCTTTAAGTTGACTGTTTGACTATGACTCCTGGTGGTGTTTTAGTTACTTGCTGAGAAACAGTTCCTGATGCCCACAACTTCCTGATGGCCCTATACCCAGTATAGGGAACCAAAAAAAGGGAAGGACGCCACTTGGGGACTTGATGAACTCCCAGATGAGAAGCTGATGGTTGCCAGTGAGAGAATATTGGCAGTGCTGACATTGCCCTTCCGATGGTTTTTCTTTAGGGCATTTTATTGTTTGTAGAGAGCCACAGATGCTGGCTTTTAGAGTAATGAACAGCTAGGTGTGGAGGCACGAGCCTAGAAACACTTGGGAGACTGAGGCAGGAGGATTCCACAGGTTTGAGGCCAACCTGGGCTACGTAGTGGGTTCTAGACCAGCCTGAACCACATAGTGAGATTCTTTTCTCAAAAAAACCATAAAAAGCAAGAGTACTAAAAAACAGAATCCAGGTTTTGGCAGGTTTTTTTGTTTTGTTTTTTTTTTTTTTGGAGGGTTGCTGTTTGTTTGGTTAGTTGGTTTTTAAGAGTTTTGCTTTGTAGTCCAGGCTGCCCTTGAAACTCACAGCAGTCCTCCTCCTTCAGTTTCCCAAGTGCTGAGATTATAGGTATATGCTTCCACACCCGGCTTCTGACAGTATGCTGATGAAAGTTTACTCACCAGAGTGACTTGAGTATAAGATAAACTACTGCTTGTGTTAAGTGAGATTGTTATTCTAAGGATAGAATATTGGGACGATGTGGTGTACAGCTACCCTGGAGACTGGGACAAAATGATCAGAAGTACAAGACTATGCTGGACAATTTTGCAAGATTCTCTCTTAAAAAATAAAAAAGTTAAGAACATAGATGATTTGTAGGGTGCCCCTGGATTCAATCCCTACTATCCCTCTGCAAAAAAAGAAAAAAAGACTGGGTTAGGACTGGTTCAGAGAGTTGGAGAGCTGTCATCCACCAGGGTGTATTAAAAGTGCAGAATTTGAAAGAATTCAAGAAAAATGTAAGTTCATCCCTTACATGTGTAATTGTGATCTGGAATGAAAGATTTCTCATGTAGATGTGTGGAATAAGTCATGACTAAGATAAAGTTTGTTTGTAAGCTGCAAAAAGGGAAATGACACCTTTCTACTAATTAGTGAGCATGTTGACATGTCAGTTAATATTTTGTCCACTGTCATCTTCTACTTCATTTGAAAGGCAATAAAAGTGAACAGTTTTGAATTGTTTATACATAATTTTCTGTGTGTGGGCATCCCTTGGTACTTCTTCTCTTGCTGATAAGGTGTTTTCTAGCGTTTCAGTCAAGTGGACCTGATGTAGCCTCATTCATGCACAGAAGTACAGTGGAGACGATAGCATCATTCATAATTCCCATTTCAGGTGTGATGCAACCATTTGACGTAGGCCTGGCTCTTAACTAATTGTTTTTCTCATTTGTTCTAATGCTGCTGTCCCTGCCAAGAGTTCATTCTAAAAAGCCAAATAAAAAAGAAGTCTGAAATTTGAAAAGCAAAAGGAAAGACTTGAAATTTTATTTTAAACTTAACTGCAGGGCTGGGGAGATAGCTCAGTAGAATAAGTGCTTCCCTGGCAAGAGCAAGGGCCTGAGTTCATTCCCCGCTTCTGCA